AGACTGATAAAATCAATCCACAAAGAAACCTTTCAAATCTACAAATTGCTATGATGTGCTTTCTCGCAGCCAGACTGATGAAATCGATCCACAAAGAAACCTTTCAAATCTACAAATTGCTATGATGCTTTGAAATTACTGCCACTCTTAAAACAAATGTGTTATTATGGTATCCAAACAGGAAATTTTCGCCACCAAGAAGCAAAACTTAATGCTTTGATAAAAGAAAACCAACAACTGAAGAAAATAGTATTATCGAACAGTCTGACAGGAATAGAAAATATCTTAAGAACGTGAGATTTCCATATCAGCTCAAATACAGAAAATTCTTTAGAAAAAAACAACAAAAAAAAACAGATTGTATGAGGAGAATAGCTTTTGCTTGAAGCCTCCGAACAGTTTCGATGAAAGCCTACAGGATGCTTCGTCCCAGAGATGCTGTCTTACTGCACTAAAAAAAATCCTACTTGTATACCAGGATTCATTACTTAATGGTTTCTTTTGATAAAAAACAAAAAAACATTACTCTCGGATTTTGAGAAACTTTCATTTGAAAGTTGATTTAAGTTTTGCATATGATTTAAGTGAAGACAATGCGAACCCCTTATTCTGATAATGGCGAGAGGTATTAAGAAGTGGAAGTAGCCACTCTGTTTAGAGTTTTATGGCTAGAGGTATCATTAAGAAGTGGAAGCAGCCACTCTATTTAGAGTTTTATGGCGAGAGGTATCATTAAGAAGTGGAAGCAGCCACTCTATTTAGAGTTTTATGGCGAGAGGTATCATTAAGAGTGGAAGCAGCCACTCTATTTAGAGTTTTATGGCGAGAGGTATCATTAAGGAGTGGAAGCAGCCACTCTATTTAGAGTTTTATGGCGAGAGGTATCATTAACCACTCTATTTAGAGTTTTATGGCGAGAAGCACTGTTTTGGTCGTGATTCAAGAAGTTGAGAAAACAAGATTTCATGTTATGGCTATTGTATGTGATTTAGCTGGGAAAAATCGCGGACTCCTACGTGAGCATAATATGTATCCAGAAAATTCCAGTTTCTCCAATCCATCGAACCTGAACCCGGTGTTTCTTTTTCCCGACATTCCTCATACGACCGGGGCGGCTACCGAGATCCTCTCCTGTGGCACAGTTATTCCAAAGAAATATTGACTCTTGATGTTGCAGAAGAGAACAGAGGACAACTTAAAACAGAATACAGGTTATGTTAGAAGCATCTCGCAGTTATGGGTAAAGACAGAACGTTACTATGGCAGTAAAAGCTTTCCTGAAATACAAAAGGAAATAGTTTTCGAGTTGGTTGAAATTTTGTTGAGGTAACGAACTCGAGAGTGAACAAGAAACGTACTAAAAGGGCATATGGTATCCATCTGACAATAACATATTTAATGACGTATACGGTGGAAAGTATGGGTGTTTTGGGGAAAAATGTAACTTTAATAACAATTAATAGTTTGAAAAACATACTTGTGCAGATGGGAAAAGAAAGGAAAATACACTACGTCATGACATCTAGAATAAACCAAGATTGTCTACAATGTACAAACCATCCTCTTCCTACAAAGACGTTGAAAAAAATCACCCAAAGCTCCTCCTCCCTATATCAAGTCCTCCGACGGGACAGCGATAAATTTACGAACTTTCAACGCTAAAATCCGGGGTTTGATTATCCGCGGTGGACACAGCAGATAGCCCAATGTGGCTTTGCTTTAAAAATAACGAACCAACTAAACTACCTTATATCAAAGCATTCATGAGCAGCCTCCAAATGTATTTATCCTGATGAAGTAGGAGTTACGTCAGCAGTAACGTTGGAAGTATCTGTTTAATCTAATACTGATTGTAATGAAAAAATATGACATCCACGTGCTTATGGAAAATATTTCTGTAAATATGGAACCAGAACTGAACATGAAGTGGAATGTTGAAATTTTGTAGCAAGTTTTGCTGTTTTTTAAAAGCATCAAGGATGCTCCGGATCTTCAAGTCAGGTGATGCAACATTCTTATGATCAGGATAGTCGGATTGCTACATTGTCGAAAGGTGGGTCTTTTTATCAGATGTCTGAATGGCTAGAAAGTGTGCATTCTATGGAAAATTTCAATATGATATTATTTAAATGATAAATCCCATCTTGTGAACAAAAGGACAGAAACATTATGCAGAAAGCACCCATCAGAAGAAATACGAAGACTTTATCATGTGTTCTGCTTTATTCGTATTCCTCACATAAACAAAAACCTTTGAAAAATAATGAGCAAAAACTGAAAATAAAGTATTGAATTTTGTTCTTGTACGTGAAAGTACGGACATTATAAAAATATTTTAATCGTGATATCTTCATTTTTATAAATATTGCTTACTGCATATAATGCCATGAAATGTGTAATTGCTTTAATAATATTCAGTTCTAGTTTCACTGTTTTCCTTATAAAAGTATAAACATTAATCAGTCCAATTAAATGTTTACACGTCTGAAGTATTTGGTACCAGTGGCGTCAGGTAGTGACATCTTATTGGTGACAGACCTTATACAGTGTGCGTCTAAAGATCTCGAGCTAAAGGAAAGACAACTAGTCAACTATTCGGTTAATCTCTTCTAATCAAATAGTGGGATTTAACCTTCACTTTATACTAACACACGGCCATAAAGTGCAGAGCATGATTAAACAACCATAACTAGCAATTTACGGACGACACCTGAATATAGAGTAAATAAATACTCCTAAAAATAATGAGCCGGGCGAGGCCTAGTATTAAATAAGGGTCTGTTGCGTCATCGAAATCACGTGACTGGTGTGGCGCCACCTATTTTCTAGAACTATCCTGTACCTTGGCGAATGCTCTAGTATTTACTAGATATAGGGTAGTCTGGTATATAAAAGAGGGTGACAACGTGACGGGAAGGTAATGTAATGTGTGTGTAGATAGTGAGTAATTGAACTGCAGTCAGAAGTATTGTTGACGTTGATATAGCGTTTGTTTTAGCGCGAATATTGAAATCAAGTGTATCGTAAAGTTGTATTCGGAAAGAATAAACCAGTTTTATTAAGTAAATACTAGTGTCGCTATAGTTTCGTCTGAACGAAGTTACGGAAAATTAATTAACAAACGGAGACGTAACAAATTGGTGTCTGAAGTGGGATAAAAAAAAAGGAAACGAGAAGCGGCAAATCAAACTACAGCATAGCAGACTTGATGGCAGCAATACAAGAACAGCAAAAGAAACAAGAAGAACGAGAAGAGAAATTACAACAGTTGTTGGAAGAAAAAGTAAAGAAACAAGACGAACGAGAAAAGAAACAGGAAGAAAGTATCCAACAGTTGCAGGAAAGTCAGCAGCAACTACAGGAAAATCAACGACAATGGCAAGAGGTACAAATGGAAAACATTATAAAATTTAAAACCGAATTAGATACGTTAAAGGACGGTCTGTTGTCTTTCACACAAGGAGGATACATTGACCATCTACTTAATCAGCCCCAGACAATGGCAAGCCCCTTACAAAGCCCGCAGCTAAACACTAATGCAGACATATTCAGTCCCGTTAGAAGTCACATCTTAGATATGAATGTCAGTAATAGGAGTGATCCAGTGCGAAGGAAGCCACAGGAATTCGATGGGATGGCACCGTGGG